GTTATTATTTCAACTCCACATCAAAATGTCATTTAAAACAAACAAAAAAAAATTCCCTGGAAACTAGGAGATAAATGAAAGTGTAAGTGCCTTTACAAAATAAAAGTAAGGCCAGCCCTCTGGGAAACGGCAGGCTCTCAGTTCGAGGTATTCAAAGCTCATTCAAACATGTTCATTGAGGATGCAGGTATCAAAGATGATGCAAATTTTGAAGAGAAAATTAGAACTTACCAGATGTTCTAATCCCACTTTGATGTATCCAGCGTCCCTGCAACAGAAGAACAAATTTCCTAAACTGGAAATAAAACCCTGCTGGTAATTGTCTGTAAATAAAAAAAGATTTGAAACCTGCTCAACCTTTTTACCCTTTTTGTGGGGTATGATACTACAACAATTTGTAGTATTTTGTTCGCTGTATAACACATTGTCTGTGAAACCATCAATTTTCAAAAAGGCCCCATTAGTACTATATAGTATAATGTAATCAACAACTGATTTGAGCAATATACTCCTCTATTAATGTGAAATAACACATCAAACCTATAGCCTTCGTCCACTACACGAGAAATGATATAACGGAATATAACTGTGTAAAGTACTTTTGTACGCAGATTGTTTAAATTGTTCATGTTTATCAAAAGTTTTCAAAAAGTTTGAAGACATATATAAACCATGTACCCAAATGCCTTCTTGTCTTGTGGGTAAAAAGAAAAAAATGTTTTCTTTAGTGATTCAGTATATCAACCATGGCATATTTATATTTACATGAACAAAAAACAAGGGTTAAGTATATGCTAACAATAACAGACCCTAAGTCACTTAAATTAACACTGGATACCTCAATTTTAAACTGTACGAACTGTGCTGAGTGAATTCCTTGATGGTTTTACTAAGGGCCATTTTCATCACTATAGATAAGTGTTTCAGCAGCTCAATAGGAAATAGTTAATTCCAACGATGCTATATCCTACATATGCAATGGGTATTGAATTAATTGAACAATATATGATACAGGCAAGGTTATTATAATTACTACTTTGCAATGAAAAGGGACAATATTATAATGTGCTTCCCAGATAAAGTAAATTACAAGCTGAAAGGGCAAAAAATGCGAATGCATAATAATATCAAGGCCAGAAGGGAAGGAAGAAAAACATTCAGATTAAAAGAGCAAATTGGCAGTAAATAATAGATGCATTTTTGGCACATTTCAAAATTATTACAGAGGATATCAAAAGAACAACCCCCCGTGCTTTAATACTCCCTCTATGGCCAGAGCTGTTTTGCAAGCACCAGCTTATCGACGCAGCTAGAACAGTTAATGCAGGCAGAGTCACAGTGAAAATCCATACAATTTCTAAAATTACACTGTTTATAGCAGTATCCAGCTTCCCTAGTTAATTTTAAATGTGCCCTTCCTCTGCAAATTACCACAAAGCACAACTAATTCCTTGGGAGGACAATATTTGATATTTGTTGATAAAGTTTCTAATTGCGAAGCAGAGGAGCTTGTAGCTCATCTGCTGAGAATAAGTGCTTCCAAACACATAAATCAAGCTTTTTTTTTAATATTTCCTTTTTAATAAAAAAAAAGAAAAAATGCTGTTCTTAATTCCCTTATTATTCATGCAGCTGGGGTATATGTGACCACTTAAGAAAAACTTCATCTAGTTTTAATTACATTACATTTCGTGTAACAAACAAGAGCATTTATTATACATGACTTGTAAGAGAAATTAGAGAGCCACACATTTGTTACTACAGTGACAGTGTAGCGTAATCCCCCTAATGAACCACAATTAGAGAGAAACATTTTACATTATGTCCAAAGGAAGTGTCGTAGGCTGCATTCAGCTAATGGTCTAGGAAGGCTGTCTTCTTTCTGTGGCCTGTCTCCACGGCTGTCCCTGTCATTACTTCATCAATATTTGTTCAGCTCCTCCCTCCCCCTGTGCCGAAAGGAGGCCTAATTCAATTATGGGGCTCAAAACTGATAAAATGGTACTGAAGTGGAAAATGGGAAGAGATTATTGGCAAATGAATAAAGATTTGTATCGAACAAGCACACCGGAGTACAGCAAGTCCTTTTTTATCATCTTCTGCCTTCAGGTCTGCTGGGAACCCAGAGTTTTCCTTTCCTTCATGCAGAGCATCGATTTCTGAATTAGACTGCAATATTAAATAATTAATATACTTGCCATGATTGATGTTTTGCATTAGCTGAATATTAGGTTATCAATCAAAATCCACTTGGTTTAATGTAATAATATTGAAAATGTGTCAGGGGCTGTTCATCCAATTTGTAGTTGAGGCAGCACAGATAGTAATATTGGTGTAACACGAAGCTCGGGAGCAGGAAATGTACTGGTTGAACATTCATAAGGTGCAGATTATGAAACTAACAGAGACGAGACCGAGGCTGCCCTATATAAACCCCCTTGGCACCTGTCAATTTCAATCTCAGCCAGATCTCGATAGAAATAAACCACCGACTACATATGCCTTTTATCAGCCGAGTATTGTTCACACTGTAAAAGCAACTTTTTGTAGCTCTCTATGAAACGAACTAAGAATTTAAATCATACACTCTGTGTTACACAAACCAGGGGACTACAGCTGCCTGAAATATTGGCCACATTTCCTTTTCTCCTGATTTTTCCGTGTTTGTTTTTCACTGTCGTGCATCACATGCTCAGAAAGTTGGTCCCCTTTTTATTTATGAACCTTAAGGCCCTAGAGAGCCAAGGTGACCCCCACTGACAGTAGCAGGGTTAAATGATCCTATTCATCATGAAATTGCTGTCATATAGCTGGATATGTTTCATGCAGCTGTCTGGAATTTTATTTTTCACTTTCAGGCCAATGTAGCAGGTACTGGTATCCATATTATATCATTTCATTATTCCACACGCTATGTGAATGATGGTAGCTGGGTCCTAGCATAAGGCAATATACCTTAGTTACTGATACAGGGGTTGTATTCAGTATCTAATAATATTAAATGAAGCATAGTTTTTATGTTAGTCGCTTTTTCAAACAAAAAGAAGAAATGAAGATTTCTTAATTGTAAAGAAATATTTACAATGATTTAGAATTTCTTTGTTACCAAGATTATTAGCACTTCAAATTGTTATTTTGCTATGCCTTATGAAAATGAGCATCCTTCTTCTTTTTTTGTTTGAATTCTTTTTCTGTCTTCCCCATCACCTTTCAACACATAACACCCATCTTGCACGGCCCTCTGCATCATGTCCTGTATTGCGCTCGAGCCACCAGCTGGACTCAGCTGAACTAATCTTTTTAAAAAACGACCTTCTTGCTGCAGTTCCTGGAGGTGTTAACCAAAGGGCACAAAGAGCTCCTGCTGATACTGTATGCCCCCGCAGTGAAGGACCTACAGTTGATTCCACAGATAAATGCCCAACTTTCTCTGTCAAACTCCCCAGGTGTGCCCTGCCACTAGTGTCTCCTGCCATCACGGAATGCCACGCCACTGCTCCAACAGATACACCAAGGAGTTTTTCCAGGATTATCGCACCAATTTGTAACTGAACACTTGTTACTATAACCCGCCTACTCCCATCCCACAGGCTGACCAAACTGCCTTTGAACGGGACGAGCCTGATCAATCAATGCTAGCAAACTACAGAACCTAGGGAAGAACCTAGGCCGGCCTCAGAGCAAGGCAGTTGACATCTTCCTTGCCATGGGTTGCTGCTCTGAGAGAGTGAGGTGAATTTTGCACAGCCTTCTTGACAGTGCCCCCTGCACTGTAGTCATAACTGCAGTGATACAGATAGAAATATGCTCAAGAAACATGGGTAACCATTACATCTTGCAGTGAATCGTACACATAAGGAAATTAGGAGGTGCCAGCAGGTAAAATAATTGACCTTCAATGATTTGTCTTGGGTTATACTTCTGATTTTAAATCATGAAAACCCAAATGAAACCCTAGATGTTAATGAACTAAAAAAATACTATTTATTGTGCTAATTCTTTCCACATACCCCCCAACTTCCAGCGCAAATCTGTAAAATGAGGCATAACACAAATATTTTAACTGAGGTCTAAAAAATAGAAGTGGGGTTTTAAAGGCAGAATATAAGTGTCTATATATAGTACCTGTTCTGCATAATGTTCACAGTAATTTATCTGAGGGACTCATTGCACTCTGAAAATCCCTGTACTCACTAAGCTTTGATTATTGCCACTAAAATCCAGCTCAACCATGAAATGTGTAACAGGGAAACTATACTTAAGTTTATGTAGCCAAAACAAATAAAAGCTGATGTGCATACTCTATATTTTAAACTTCCAGAAGAAATCTTTAGAAATAAAATAAATTCAATGCATGCTTTCATTTATGCAACGTGCAGCAGGTAAAAACAAACAAAAATACCACAGGGTACTGGAGGTATAGTGCAGTAGAAAAGAAAACAAGTCATTTCTTTTGTTCTGAAAGCAAAGCATTATTTATTCTTACTTAATTAAGTAAAAGAGGACAAACAAGTCAAAGTGTTAAAAAGGGCTAAATTTAATGCAAGGCTTTTGCTGCAGTCAATACTGGCAAATTGGAAATGTCTAGCATATCATTCATGTCAAGGGAGCTGCTCGGCTCCAACCCCAGTCTCTCAGTCCCATGTTGACATCATTATCGACTAATTCTGAAGGCTACTATTATGTTCGTAGTTACTAAATTTCTCTGCAACAGCTTCCTTTAATCTGTGGCTAGAATTCCAGGTAGCACACAATTAATTAAAGTCAGGGCATGAGATGAATTGTCATCTGTGGTCAAGTTTCAAATAATTGCATTAGGGCTTTTTTTTCTCTTATTTCCCTACTTGACATGGCTGAGATGAATATCTTTAGTCAGTCAATGTAGAAACCAAGGACTTAAAATGCAAAGCCAGTCATTTTATTTCCACCTAACAGGAAGGCCCATTAGCACATTGCTCATCAGCGATGCATTACTGTATAAGGGTCTCAGTCCCTGACATCTAAGCTTAACGCTTTAATGTAATGAACACACTGAGTCCTGATTGGGAAGCACTAACTGAATCTTTTTTTTTTCAGCGGCAGAAATGTTGCCCACATGCAAGATTAAGACTGAAATGAAATGCGAAATGACAGGATAGTTAAGATGTTTCCACTATAACTCGTTTTAAATGGCGAAAATATACTTTATTAAAAATATGTGCCTTTTTGTTTCATTTCCGGGACATAGAACTAACAGTATTGATGACAGAGAAACAGAATGAACATAGT